AGTGCTGCGGCTACACCGTGGTTATGCAGCGGGGGCTGCATGAAGTTAAGAGGTTATGGGTAGAGGCAGCGGGGGCTGCAACTACTGAGTTTAGACATTGACGCAGCGAGGGCTGCCTGTGAAGTCGTTAATGAGGTATAATAAAACCCACGCAAAATATACCTAAGAAAATATGAATGATCTTGGGGGGATATGAGCTAATCCCATAAGCGAAGTCCCCGAAATGATGCAATTGTTTCAATTGCAGAATAACCCCCAAGATATAAAGGATGGTAGGAAAACATGAAAATGTAAACATTACTAGAAACTCCGTGAATTACCATACATGTAGGAAATACTGGGAACCTCTAAATGCGGTTTTGACTCCGAAGCTTTGCTATTAGAAAAAGGGGGGGGGGTTAGAGGAGAAGGAGGGGGTACGTGCTCAATGGAGAATTTAAAGAAAGGAAATCTTACAAGAGTGACCACATATATGCATTTGATAGATTACGCTTATTTTTGACCAATTGACATAATTTTGTTTTGATCAAAATATAGTGGAAAAAATTTATAATTTATTTTGTGAAATGTGGTGCTCAAGATGTTAATTATAATTCTCCTTTGCAGCGCATCAACCATCAATATCCCGTCGTAAGCATGGAAAACTCTCCATAAATGCAATTTAACTATAGTCAAGGTTTTATTTGATATGTATGTAAACTGCAATGTGATGAACATCTTTAAAGATCTTATGAATTCCATGTGTGTCAATCAGCGAATGATTAGAAAGATTGATTGCATACAATTAAATAAGGTTGTTGCCATATGAAAAAACACATACACTTTGTAATAACCGAAAATACATGTGATATTGCAATTTTATGATCGTCAGGCAATTCGCATGACTTCCTCAGTTTGGGGAAGAGGGAGAGGGGAGCTTCACTGCATTTCACACCACTATCATACCCTCTTATGTCTAGGGTAAACTTAAAATAAGACTAATTTAATGATTTGACTGCAATTACCCCTGACTAGGAATTCTTTTGCTGGTTATATTTTCTACATTTAATTGGATCACTGGGGCTCTTTTTTTCACCAATTGTTGTCCAGAAGTGGATACAGAGGGGGTTCCTTGTATTTGTGCAAATACCCTAAAATTTGTAAAAAAAAAAATTTCTGGTTTATTTTTCAATTTATATAGAAATGAACCAGGTGAAATAAAATTATGGATTCGCCCATCCTGTCAATTTGAGCTATTTACAAGTAGTAGTGTTCCTAGCTGCTGTATGGTAGTATTTTTCAAATGAATTTTGCAAAAATACACCTGTCCACCTTCTGTATGTAAAATTAAAGAAATAGCCATAACAAAAATACAGGATCAGCATACAAAATCTAGCTAAGATCGGATTACTGAAAATATGCTACATTTTTTATTTGGTCTAACCCAAAATGATTCAGCATCTGGCAACTTTATGAAGGAAGAAAACTAATCAATTATATTTGAAGCCAAATCAGTTAACAGCACGCTGTCCGCTCTATTTCAAATCCTGCCAGGGCAATCACAAGTTAATTTCCATTTCTCATTAATATACAATATGAATAGATTCCTAAACCATTTGATATATTCATAATTTCATAAAGATACAAAAAATATATATTTTTTATGTGTATCTACACCCCTAGCATATTTAATCTAATGAAGTTCTTTGAGTACCCACAGGCATGTTTCAATCTCCTATAATAATTTTACGAGAAATAACAACTTATTTATTATTAATAGATGTTATACTATTTTCCATTTTATTGTACGCTGAAAATTAATTCATGATCAAAGTACTTTGTACATGAAAGGATAACCCTAGGCATTCTTAAGACTTTCAGAATATTAATATAAATACAAATAAGCTTTTAAATGGAATGACAACACTTCAGTCATATCTTTCGTGTACACGTAGACAATTTCAGGCAAAACTATAATTGGATTATACATCGCAGCATTATGATGATCTGATGCAATCAATACTTTAATCAATATCATATGATGTCTTACAATATAGATGTAATGGTATGTTTCATTTCATATGAGCTGCTTTAATTAATTGAAATATTAACCAAAAATGTGTACAAAAACGTATTTTATTGGTATTTCATGTCAAGCACAAGAATGTAGTATCCAGGATTCATTAGAAATTATGTTTTGTATTGTATGTAGAAGTTCCCACCAGTTTGCTATATTGAGATTTTTTTGATGAATGAAAGTGAGTGGTGTTAAAATAATTATGCAATTGAAAGATATAATCGACAAATCGACATCAGATCAACTCAATCAAATCAACCAATATTTTTTCCAAACAAATATTATAGAGCATACAAGAAATGACAAATCTGAAAGAAGTGAACAAAAGACCCATGCACACCAAATGTAGAAGGATTTTGTAAAGTAGATTTTATGAAGAAGTCTATTTTATAATATTATTAGCTGTTTTTTGTATACACTAATTTGCCAAGAAGTAAAATTCAGTAATAAACTTAAATCCATATAAACAGGCCAAATACCAATAGAACTTCACTGTTCTGGTGTAAATGGTTTGATGCATTTTGACAATCAGTTACGTATAAGCTCCATGTTAGAAAAGTACACGGACCTGATTGGACCCCACATCAGCAGAAGCCGCCTCTTACCACCATATATCGGCATATACATATGATTCAAATAAATGTAAAGAACAACTTGCATTATCTCAAGGTGAAGTTCAAAGAGATGAAGGCAATTGATTAAACAATAAAAATAAACTACTGTAAAATACTTCTTTTTTGTTTACTTGGAATTAATTTTCACAATTTTTGCTGAAGAAATGATTCAGTGAAAATAGAATCCAGCAAAGATACCTTTTTCCCCATATTTTACATTCAACTCGTCAAAATCAGTGAAAATAAATTCCATACAAAACACCCAAAAAGTCTTTCAAGCGAAAATTAATTCCAATTAATTAATTAAAATAAAGTATTCTACAGAAAGTTGAGATTCTAAATAGAGAGTAAGTGACGATGAGTGATATTCCTTCACTCAACAACGAAGAACCATTTAATGAGATTAGTATCATTTACAAGTCTATAAGCATCAGGGATTTCGTTACGAGGCAACCGCTGGAATATAGCTGTCTACTTTTCTTGTTCAGACTTCTACTTTGTGTTTTTAACACAAGCAACTTTTAAATTAGTCACATTTTGCCCTCCCACTTTCAAAATCTAGTCGCCTACTCCAGAATTCCCCTGAAATATGTTGCTTAGAATCATATTTATAGGAACTTGCATTTTCCACAGACCTGAATTTGCAGACCGCATTTACGTGACAACATTTTCAATCACATTTCCCAGGATGCATTGCAATTCATTTTTGAAATCTTGATTCGAGATGTTATAAACACTGAATAAACCACAATTATTTAATTACACAAACTATTTTTTTTTTATTCTAACAATTCAACCGAAGTCACCTTCAAACTTAAATTTTAATTCAAATCAATGGCATTATTACAGTATAGTATTCCAATTTCAATACTGCTTGTAGTTTACAAAACATTACAAATATTCACTAAAAGCAGAGAATTAAAATAATCAACACAAACTAAACACAACTTCTGATAGAGCTCTACAGATCTACCCAAAGTACATGTATACATATGGATAGGCTAGTACGTGATTTTCAAATATACCCATATTCTTAAAAAAAAAAGAGAAAGAGAATTTAAGACGTCACACAATATCTAATTTGATTGTGTACGTCAACCACCAACATAAGTGCATACCAAATATAGCAAAGCAATCAGTTTTGTAGCCAAAGTTGACGGATCCAAATCCAGGCATGGACAATCAAATAGAATGACTATATATAGATCACCTGTAATCTTTGTTGACAGTCGATCGAATAATCCTGATCACAAGCCGGCTACTTCAAAGGATAACTTAGTGCAAGGTCATTCCCACAAGAATCCCCTCATTTTTCACTTCATTACATCGTATATTTATTAAAAATAGATAAAATCTTAGGGCTTCGTTTTCAATTGCTGATCATTTTGTGAAACATAGCATATGCTCTGTTCTGAAGAGTCAATGTTTTTTCAAAATTTCCCAAGGG